CATTAGAAGTAAATATCCACAACATTTTAATGTTTGTCTTATTTACTTTCCATTATGAATAGGAATCAGCTGATCAAAAAAATTTGAAATTTGTTCTCCAGAAATTCCAGCTACACTTTTGTCATCTCAAGACGAGAAAACAACAAGCCTATAGAAAGTTTTTTTGTAGACATTTTTATTGTATATTTGTATCTTTAAATAGAAAAGATCTATCATGTAAATGTTTCATAGATGAGAAGATAATGGAGAGAAGATAATTCCCAATTTAAACTAATAAATATGGTTCTTAAAAATGCTCGCAAAATGTACAATATCAAATAACTTTGAAGTATGATTTATGCCCAAACAAACAATCATGAGGATCTAAACTATAAGAGAGAGAAAATGATTGCAGTACAAATTATATGGAGATCACTTGACTTTGACCTTTACTCACCAACCATGACGTTTCATTTTGGAAATTCGGTTTGATATCCAAATTTTCTGGCCTAGCAAACTGTTGAATCAATGCAATTTTATCAGAAAGTTGTTCGTCAATTTTTACATCATCTCGAAGCGAAGCATATACACGAGTAAATAACTTTGTCATGACATACTTCTCCAGTCCCTGTATAAAAAAGAAGGGGGTGCATGAGAAAGAGAATTAATATTAGAAATAATAAATATCATTTAAGCAACAAATTTGGATGCAAAGATATGTTATGATGAATACATAATATGTTCATTTGGGAAGACTACTTGCAGAGTTTTCCAAATATATGCTCCAAGATAAAATATCTTGGTCTTTTCTATAACATTTATTTTTTTAATTTGTTAAATATACAAGGACAGGACAGGAACACAATATGCGTTATTCGTTTAATCAGGTAGGCTTGTTTTACCATCATGTTTAACTATAGCAAATGGATTATACATAAAGATGTTTTAAAACTATAGTCTTTTTGTCCAGACCTTTTACCCTAAAAAAATTAATCATTCACCTCATTCTCCTCGTTATTGAGATGAAAAACAAATCATCATTAATTATAAAGATTTACACATGCTCAAAAGTAGTAAACTTACCTCACCAGCACTTTCGAGCTCTTCCTCTGAGCAACCGGACCAAAGTGGATGAGCTCTGAAAGCTCCCTCCATTTTAGCAAAGAATTCTTGTACTGAAGCACTGTCCCTCTCAGGATCAGGAGCATTGTTCGAAAATGACACAATAAAGCTGCCAGTACATAATGTTCAGTCTAAACTTTATGCAGTTTTATAGTTTAGTTGAAAATCAACATTCGACATCCTATAATCAAGCAAAATATATGCAGGAGAAAGATTTATCTCCTTCTCCAGAGAGAACATAATCAACGTGAGTAATCACTGCCAAACTCTTTTATTATAAAGTAACAATTTCAATCTGAAAATTGACAAACTGAAACATACTCACACATACACATCTATGCATGTATATACTCTATGCGTCGGGCCTCAAAATCTTCAGTCCTCCCAGTGTATGTCAAGTTTAAATTTGAAACCACCTCAACTCCAGAGCATTAGGTAGTCACATAAGGTATTTTACTATCACAAGTATGTGGTATCAAAGGTATTTCAATTAATGACCAACAGGTATCCAATGGCTTTACCATTATGCCGACCTCATGAAGCTACTCTTGTATAAGAATTGGATTCATCTTGCAGATAACATAATTTTTTTAGATAAGAAGCTTGCATATAACATAATTACTAAACTGTGCCACTAGGAACTAGCTATAAATCTTTTTACTTCAGAGACCCATAACTGCTATTCCAGCTAGAGAATGCAGTCTGTGAGACCATTTATAAGAGTGCTTTTCTCCTTCTCGAAAAAAATGATTCAACTGGTTTAAGTTCTGGTGGACAAGAATTTGAATCTTCAAATACTAAAAGTGGGTGCCAACTAGAAATCTAAAACCGAAGGCCGAAATGATGAAGTGCATCTCCAGCGACAACCTAATCAATAGAGTAATTGTTACTAATCTCCAATCTAACGGTAACAACATCAACCATAAAATCACATTAGGCACTGAGTTTCAGCTTGAATAAACTATACTACTTCACAGGCCCAACTTAACTTCTTCCATTGATGACCACGAAAATTTTCTCCAAAAGTAAATGAACTTCAAAGTAGCAAATACTTTTTCAAACAATCAGCCATTGTCAATAGCAATCAGTTCGAGGTCAAGACAGAAGAGTTAGAAAAAGAACAATGAGCAAGCATTGTAATTAACGTGTAAACAAATCAGATAATAATTGAAGGAACGAACACAATACACTAATTGAAGTAAATAAAAATTCTATATTTTGCACATATCATTCGAATGGAAAACAAATTTACCTTTTAATGGATTTGACGAAATCTGAAGCTGATGGTTGACGCATGCGCTCGAGAAAGTCGTGCAGACCCAAAAAAACGTCGGCGTTCTCCATTCCCCACCGGGCGTCTGAAATTCTCAAGCAAATCCTCGATCCTTCACTTTTGGTCGAAGAACTCTGAGCATCAGCTAGAGGAAAATCTCTGAGAGCACGAGGGACAGTGAATGTGATGTGCAATTCTTCGATAGAAGAAAACAAAGCACTTCCTCGCCATGATCGTAATTAAATTTCAACAAATTAAGATCCCCCACTTTATGATTAACTGGGCTCGCAGGCCCAATCCAATTACGGCCCATAACAAGAGAATGGTAAAAATGGGCCAGGGTTTAGAGCCCAACGCAATATTGCAATCTGCTCAGACAAAGTTTCGTTCCACCTTCAGCAATGAAAGCACTTTTTTTTGGGGGTATTTTGGTCCTTTTACTAAATTGACAGAAGTTTTCATAACATCATGTGAACTTGTGTTAGGTTAGGGCAAACTACATATTTAGTATTTTTCAAAAATAAAAAATGAAAACTACATATTTAGTATATCAACTTTGATTAGTGTGTCTTTTTGATCAGTTACCTTTTTAGAAAGTTTCAGTTTTCTAAGAAGCTATTTAGAAGAAGCCATTTAGTAACCATTCCGTTGTTAGTTTTATGTTTTTGAAAATTATGTTTGTTTGCTACCATCTTATTATTAAGATTTTCACCATTATTGCAAACATTTTTCAATTAAGTTTCACAGAAAACAAAATTAAGTATTTTGAAAATTACTTCTTTTTGTTTTCAAAATTTGACCTAGATTTTGAAAATATTTATAAAAACTTAGATAACAAAATAAAGAATGGACTTAGAGTAATGTTCGTAAACTTAATTTTTAAGAATAGAAAATCAAAATGAAATGGTTATCAAACAAAGCTTAAATTTTTGTATTTTATTCTTAACACGTTTTTGTCATAAATACCATTGCTTAAATGTGACATAACAATTGAACTAACCTATAGTGAAATATTTAGCACAACATGACATGAGACCATGCCTACTCTTCCAATTTTTCGTCCCGCTCTCCCTGTTGTGTTTACTCACTTGATCTACTTCCTAATGTCATATCATACCAAATTATCATTTCTACGTTCACTCAACCATTATTTAACGATATTAATGACAATAAATATTAAAGCCAAAACCAAAAGTTCAAGGACGAAGACTAATTAAAATTTGTAATGACTTATCGAAATACAGCGACCAAGATTGTAATTTGATTTACAAGCAATATTGCAATAACATGGAGTGTAGCATAAAATCGAAAGATAAGGACTCAGTTTGGTAACGTTATTGTTTCTTATTTCCCATTTCTCGTTTCATGCTTCCTGATTCTAATATTTTTAGAATTGGAACCAGGAATACATTTGATAATCATTTATGTTTATTGTTTCTTAAAAAAAAAATAGAAACAAAAATATGTTTGATAACAATTTTCTGTTTCCTATTTTTATTTTTTATTTATTTAGTATAATAACTTGTGAGGTTGAATTCAACCCCATAAACCATTGATTGAAAATGTATACGTTAACTCATTTTTAATTTTAATTAAAATAAATCTAGTGGATATGTTATAAAAAGATATAACATATCCTTATAATTTATTAAAAAAAATAATATAATTTACAATATAATTTTATTTTATAAAAAAACTAAATTATTAGCTTTACCTACAGAACAAATTTTTAAACTATTTTTAATTTAAAAAATAGAAAAAATATTTTTTTTAAGATAACATATTAGCTTTAAATAAAGGAAAAGTTTTTAAACTATTTTTTATTTAAAAAAATATAACACCTTTAAATAAAGGATAAAATTTTAAACTTTTTTTAATTTAAAAACTAGAAAATAATTTTGTTTTATTTGAGAAAATATAAAAGATGAGAGAAAAAGGAAACCTATAAGCAAATTTACATTATATGAGATTTCAATCTTGGCCGATGACGTTGAAGAGATTGCAAATGTGCATTTAAACCAATTGGCCAACAACCGGAGATGAACATTTTTTCACGAAAGATGCATTTTTAATAAAACTGGCTCGAACATTAAAAAAAAAGGGAAAAACATGAAAATTTGACTTCTTTTTTAAAAACATTTCTCAAATTAAAGAAACGAAAAATGGGATGAATTAATAAACATGTCAATTTCTAAAAAGAATGAAAAACGGAAAATAGAAAACAGAAAAATTATCAAACGAGACTTATCAAAGAATGGTGGAAACTTTTTATTTAAGAAAATTTAATCGCAAAAGACTAAACGAGGGTATGGGAGGGAAATGGTTGTTTATGCTATATTTCTAGTTTAGAGAAATGCGCTACTTTTAAAAAAAGCACTCAATTATATGTTATTTCAGGAAAAATAGCCGCATTTTTTGCATATCGTGGTGTTGACATGTACATGACATCCACGTGGCCCAATAAGGTTCATCAAAAGTGACCGCTGGCGTTTGCAGACCGGAAAGCGCATATAAGCATCCAATGTTCTCTCTCCATGCTCTTGGACGGATGACCAGATCAACAAACAAGTGGGCCCAGAATAACTATTAAAAAAATACATTTTTAAATCTTTTGCCACTTGTAGTATTTTGATGCTTATTTATTTTTGCGTAAATATTACATCCTCCCTACATTTTTATGCTTGTTTTATTGATTTTTTTTTTCTTGACAGTTTGTTTTATTGAATTTTAAACATTACTCTTTAGTCCATATTTGTATGAAATTTTGTTTCAATCATTATTGTTAATCCAGGTTCATAATCTCAATATATATTAGTTTATTTCAAAATCTAAAATATGATATACTATGTATGCCTTCTAATATTTGTTCACATATACATCAAATATCATGATCAGTCAAATGTTTGTTTCACAATTACGAGAGTAAAAGTAAACAACAATAATATTTTTAATGAATTTTTATGCAAAATTTATGGAGAAACATCAAAATATTTAAAATTTAAGATAAACTTGAATATTCCAAACTATAGTAGACTGAGATTTTTATTTTATAATGATTTAGTCACTTGTTCAACTTTTGATGTTGAAAATCTATTTCATATTCCATACTTAAGTTGATTCGTAAATTCAAATATACACCTCCATATTTATTGTATAATATTTTAAAGAAAAACTTAATTGTTATTTTTTTAATATCAAACCATTATGGATAACAATAATATTTCGTATCTTTTTTCAATACAACAGATGTAGAGATGAATAATTGAATAAAGTCTGCGAATAATTAAAAAAGGGGGCAAATATAAAAATGTGAAAGGAAGAAAATAATGAAGCAGCTGACGTGTATTTCTCAAATATATAAACTGGTCGTCACTATCAGCCACAGCGTACGGTCCAGATTCACTCCTCACTCGCTGGTTCTCTTTTTATCCACTTTCTCCTCCTTCTCCGATTTCCAATTCCCTTTCCCTTTCTCTCTCCTTCGCCGATTTCCTCTCTCTAACATTCCCACACAACCATGTCGCTGGGGAAGAGGCTCCGCCCTTCAATCAACCGGACCTCCAGCCTCAAGGAGATCATCTTCGACGTCGGCGGCGGCGGCGGCGCTCCCGGAGAAGATCCGCCACCGGAAAACCCTAACTCCGCCTTCGATCCACGGCTTTTGGCCATGCTCTCGCCGAGAAATAATCGGAGGCATTCCGATGAGTTTCCGCGGTCGCCTCAGTTCCTCCGAGCTTGCTGTCTCTGCCACCGCCGCCTCATCCCCGGCCGAGACATATATATGTACAAGTGAGTAACAATCGCGAGTAGGGATTCGAAACCACTTTTCAAATGAGTACCTATTATTAAAATTTATGAAAAGTACTTGAAATTAAACTGTTCACGTTCTCTGAAGTGATACAAATTCACCCTAAATCGTTCGAATTGATATAATTTGTAGGAATTGTGCGGAGAAATTGATGCGGTTTTTTTTTTATAATTTTGGTGATTGATGTGGACAGGGGAGAAAGCGCGTTCTGTAGTGCAGAGTGCAGGCAGCAGCAGATGAATCAGGATGAGGCGAAGGAGAAGCGTTTGATGGCGCCGAAGAATGGAGCCGCAGCGGTCGCATCAGCTACCTCCACCGTAGCAAAAGTCTCTGCGATTAATGGCGAGACTGTCGCCGCCGTGTAGCCGCCGCAGATAACTGTAGATGTAAAGGCAGCCGCCACGCACGTGCCAGCTTTCTATCAACGCGTATAAATACAATATTATATATGTATATTTATAATATATATATATAGATGTTTATGCAAACTTAACTGGGCAAAAATTTTGGAGCTGCTGTAACATTTATGTTAATATTTCTCTTTGATGGAAATATATGTTTTATGTGTAAATAAGTTGATTCGGTCTAATTTTTAGTCAAAATCGTGTTTATTGGTTTAAGAAAAATAAGAAACGGACACTACAATCAGTTTTCGCAATAATTGAAGTGGTTGTACAAAACAAATCAGCTCAGTTGATTAAAAGTCAAATCAAATGAATTACAGACTTATTTGATGCTAACGCGATCATAGTTGAGAGGTAAATGGTATTTATTATTTCTTCCTATATTCAAATTTTTATACTTTTACTCTATTTGTACAAAAAAAAATATTTCATTTGATAATTTTTTGTTTTATATTAAAAACAAAACTACTTCTTTAATTCTAAATTTTGGCTTATATCTTAAAAAGTCATCAGAAAGTAAATAACAAAAAGAAAAAAAACACAGGTGGAAATAATGTATATAAATTTGATTTTTAAAAATAGAAAAATGAATAGTTTGGTTTTTGAAAATGGTGAAGATGAGGTGTTAATTTTTGTTTAAAATTTTTACATAATTGAACTAATTGAAGACAATGGGTTGGAATCAAATTGAAATTGAAGTTATTATTTGGAAGAGTTAATATTTTTGTGTCATGGCTCAAATCTCTCACTCCACTTATAATTTATAGATTTATGAATTATTTTTTAAAATAGCAATGAAAAATAACTAAACATTAAAGATTTAAGTAGTGGAAGATGATATTATCATCTTTCTACTCCTTCAATTACAGCATTATTAGAATATACTTAAGAGACCAATTCAACTATTCATATTTCAATAAAACAATTATTTATCTTCTCTAGTGAATATTCCAATAGTAATTTTATTCGATTGAGCTAGGTTGAAGTTATTTTTTAATTATTTAAATTTTTGTTTTAGTTGTCAATCAAAATTAATTAATTTTTTAATCAAAATTAATGAGTATTGATTATTATGATAAAATGAACACGGTTACCTATGCCCACTCCTCTCTACCATACAGTATCTAGAGTCTAGACAGTTATATTTACACAATTTCAGAATTTTAAAATATTGGAAAGCCATTTATGTATTGGAGTTTTAAGATATTGAACTTTTCAACAGGGGTTTAAAATCTGGTCAATTTAGATTGACCTTATTTTAAAAAATTGAGTATCTAGTATATTCAATCGTAAGTACATCTAATATTAATTTAATTCTTACCTTTCCAAGTTCATAATTGAATATACTATTTATTTTATTTTACAATTTTTTTCTTTGAAATCCTAATTAAAACTTRTAGATTCCAACGAACAATGGCACGATTAAATTGAGAGTAGCAAAAGTAGAATTATGTATAATATGTAGCACATGCTCCTCTTATTTATAGAGAAAATTTAATTGCGTTTGATAGCCTTATCGATTTGACCCAAACAATTCAACTCACATTTCTTTGACCTCATTTTAAGTGAACCTATCACGATAATTTTTCTCGTAATAAAAACAATTGTCCAGTGAAAATGAAAAATTTAGAGTATAAAATTGGAGTGGAAAGGGATTCTCATTCTTTCTCCACTCAACAACGTGAGCTTTGAATCTGATTTGTTGAAGTATTGGCATTACCATTATGAAAAGTTAAAAAAAAAAAAAAAAAATTGAAGTTTATTTGGGGTATCATAAGAAAGGTCGAATTGATTCGTTCAAGTTTCAACCTTTTCATTTAATATTTTATTCTGTCACTCTGCATTATTTTGTTTCTAAAAAAAATATGCAAAATGTCATCATCATATACAGAGGCGCTCATAATTCATATCTTGTCCTTGGTGATTGGACCAAAAATAGGACCATGAGTCTCAACTAGTTGATGGGGAGATATTTTTAAAAATAAAATTTTAATGGCTTTATTCATAGCTTTATGAGACATTTTGAGTTGAATTTATTTTGAATATATATTTTAATTTTTGATGTCTATGAAAAACTATTGTCATCCTATTGATATGATATTAATTATTTATTATTTATATAAATATTATTACAGTATTAGTTAAGTTCTATTGATGGTTGTGAACTCTTAAATACGTGTAAGTCAGTATGTTATTTTCACTAATAATACTTTGTATATGGTATCAAAGCTTATTGATACCCATAAACAGCTTCCTCAAGATCCTCTGTGAATACAAACTCTTATGCTCCAGTTCTTATCTCTTTAAATACATGTAAGTTACGATGATATTTTCACTCAATATTTAGTCTTTGTAAAATATCGAGTGAGTTGGCATAAATTTAGACAAGGAATTAAGTCGTCCACCTAAGATAAGAAAAATCAAAATCTCTAATAAAAGTATCTAAAATTTTGGAGAATAAATTTGAAAACTTAATGTATTATTTTGACTTAGTTTTACAAATTTATATCATGTAAGTTTATTATCAGCTAATGTTGATATTCACCAACGAGAAATTTTCAATTTAGCTTCTTATGTTTTAATATTTTTTAATTTGGTCCCAGATGGTGAATATTAAAATTGGTCTATGATAAACGTATATAGCATAATACTTAGTAAATTGGTTAAAACTTAACAATAAAAATAAAAAAAAAACCATCGGTATAAGAAAACTTGAAATTTCTATAAACCTTTTTAGGAATTTAGAGAAGGAATTAGAAATTTTAATATGACATTTTTCTTCTTCTAAATATTTGCCAATTCATTAAATGTTATGTTGTTTAAATTTACTATCAACTAATTTTAATATATATTTATACTAAAGTACTAAATTAAAAAATATTAAAATATGAGTGATTGAATTAACATAATAATAATAACTAAAATAACATGAAAAAAGAAACTAAAAAATAATTAAATGCGCGTGTGCCTTGCCAACGGAGAGAGAGAGAGAAATTGAAATGGAAAGTGTAAGTTGTGTATCATCAAAAATAGTGGGGAAAAAGAGGGGGGAAATCTATTGTTACTTTAAATGATTTTATGCTGTGGGAAATTGCGAATATAATATATGGCTTACACACACAGAATTAAAAAGCCAAATATAAAATCTGTTGGTCCCCACAAATTAAGCCACGTCGGACCCACGTGACGTAACAAAGAGAGCAGGTGGCAAATTATTATTCGGTTTCACGGGACCCACCTCCCTTACTTTTTTTTTCTGTTCTCCTTTACCTTTTTTTTTCCTTTCTTTTTTGATCGGGACCCAATACATAAATATCTTATGCATGCGAGTAATAATTTTTTTTTGGTGATGAGCAAACTTTTATGTTTTAGTTTTATTTTGTTGAAATTTTGGAAACAATTGCTATTTGTTAAGATTTGTGAAGTCAATATCAAAACCGAGCTAACCTATTATAAGTGAGGTCGGAAAGTGTCTAGATGTGATTTGTCTGCAAATACTAAAGAAAGAAAATATGAAATATGACTCTAGCTAAACGTAACGTATTGAAAAAGAAAGGAACATAATCACTTGTACTAGCTGAGAGCTTTGAAAAGTAGAAAATTATGTTTTCTAAATCGGTTAAGATCAAGATTTAGTTAGAGCTTATTATTGACATTATCTTTATTTATCAAAAACAACATTTTAGATTAAATTATTTGGAAAATTTTTAAATCCTAATTTTGTTTATACAAGACGAATGAACTCCATCGTTTTTTTTTATATAATGTCGGAAGGGGGATCGAACTCACAACCTTTTAATTGTGGATATATGTCAATTACCGTCGAGCTATGCTCACCTTGACAAATGAACTCCATCGTTATTACTTATTCGTTACACTCTTCTATTTCTACTTGTAATGTCTGGTTAAATTACATTTATAAGTTATGTGGTCTCAACTTTACTTTAGATTTAGTCTCAATATTTTCAAAATTATTATTGTTATCACCTGCCTAGTTTAAGCATATCACATGTGTATGTCATTATAAAATTTGAGCATGAAGCAGTAGATGTAAACAATTTTCGTTGCACAAAAACAAGAGTTACATAAATTGAATGGATGTTATTTCTTATAGAATTGAGTAAGATAACTAGAAACCGAGTTAATTTAATAATACATATGAAAAACAACAAAAAAATAAAAATCATATAAATAGAATTATGTATACGTTTCCCTTCACGTCATTATTTAAATACAATGATGTGAAAACCAACCAATTATTAAAAAAATTATAAAGCTAAGAAAAGTACTAACTAGAAAGATTGATGATATAAGTCGTCCCTATGTAAGCACTAATTGACTGAATCTTAATATAAAATAAAAAATAAATAATATCCCAATAATTTAGGGTTATAGCAATTTTCTTTTAAATTTTGTATATGCTTAAAAGTTATTTGAACGTTTTACATATTTTTTTAAATATTTAAATTTTTAGTCAAATTTAAATATAGAAGAAGTTTTTTGAAAAATTTTTCTTTTGAGTTTTTTAAGCTTTGGCTTAACTTTTGAAAATTATTTTAAAAATAGACACAAAAGAAAACTAATGTGAGTAAGCTTAATTTTTAAACATTGGAAAAAAAAAAACAAAATAGTTATCCAACCATGCTTTAGAAATAAAAATATTTTGACCAATAAAATAATAAAAAGTAAGGTTATTCGTGCTTGTTTAAAAGAGGATTTAAAGTGATTAAGGAATGAATTTTAATGACAAAACTTTTAAATTAAGCACTTAAAATTTTTAAAACCACGTAAAATTTGAAAAAAATATTTTTTCTAAAGTAAATTCAAATTTATTTTATATTATTTTTTTAAACCATACTGTTACAAATATAGAAAATTTAAAAATTGACTTATAACAAATATATATTTATACATATATATATTTAAATAGAAAATACGTTCAATTAATGGAAAACAAAGCTACAAGTGCTACATTTAAAGGCATTTCTCTAAGTGATACTTGAAGCCACATAGAAAAATTTGAGGTCCAAGATGACGTGGCGTTAGGGAGCAGCTTAGCAAGCAGGTGGGCAGACCGATTACAATTGCAAGAAATAGGAGTAAAAGATATTGAGCCAAACTCCAGATCCAAATGACGAATTTCAAGAAGATAATTGAGATCATCTCTCAACGTTGAAGTGACACTGTGAAGAAGCTGACTTGTAGAGAAGCAATCAATTCGACATGTGAATCAGGGTAGTTGAAATTTTTGGCAAACTTGAGCCATTCGATTAACGCCTTCAATTCGACACGCTGAGGAGGGAGAATGAAATTGAGGGCTTGAGATTTTGCCGCAGTAATGAATCCATAGGAGTTTCAAACGATCCACTAGATCAAGGTCAATATGTGTATCTGTACACGCTTCGTCGACATTCAGATTGAGAAACCCATTAGGAGGAGGAAACTAGCACGGGGATAGATTAGACGTAGCTCCGATTGAGATGACTTATAACAAAGATTACTAATACTCGAATTATTTCTTTTAGTTCATAATTTCAAATGTGGGAGATTCAACCATCTATAAAAGGTACTTTAAAACATTGACCTATTCATTTATCTTAAAATATTGCCCACTTGACTTAGGTTCAACTTAACTAATATGTTAATCAATTAAGTATAAATTAACCTTTAAATAACACTCATACATATGCCTAGTAGAGGCCAACTTAATTTATACAAAAGGGGGACAAAGGGGACAAGTACACGTGTGTACCAGGTTGGAATCCTTAAAAGATGTTACATTGACAAAATAAAATTAAAAAAGATCAACAAAAATAGAGATCTAAAACCAAGTGAACAAGACACTCCTTTTTTCCATTTTCATCCCCTATGGCACGTTATTGTAGACAAGGATTAAAATACCGATCATATATCAAAGCCTCAATTTCATAGAAATATTAGTAAAATATCTATATCAGTTAATATTTTTGAAAAATAATGAAAATTAGATCAATTAATTTGATTTGGTTAGAGCAAAGTATGCTGGTTTATTTTTCTAAAACATAAAATTAAAATTAAAATTCAATAGAGTTCGGTTTAGATGGACTTTTCGATTAAAACTTTTTAATAAAATTTATATAATGATTGGTTTACTATATGTTTTAGATAAAAATAGAGTCAAATTAAACCAACATGCTTATATATATCTCAAAAAAAAAAAGAGTAAAAAAAAAGTCCAGTTATTTGTTTATTACTAGGGATGAAAATAAAATATTTAATAATATTAGTAACACTGTTATCGAATTGAAAAATTGAATATTGATCTTACAATTATTATGCTATATTCAAAAAATATTATATATATAACAATTAATGTCATGTCACAACCCATGTGTACTGGGGAAGTATATATGCACAAAAACAATAACTTCAAGAATCTACAATGGTACTTTACAAAACACTTTGGGATACCCCTTAAAAAAATTATTATTAATTTTGTTTTTTTTGGTGAAATCTACTCCATATTTTATTAATATTGTTGATCATTGTGTGGCTATGATTATGTTATATTTAGGCCAATGTACTTATAAAATAGAAGCTAGTTGTCCAAGTTGGTCACTTTAAGTACTAAAAACAATATAAATGACACAATACCAAAAAGATTATAATATATATATATTAAATAAATAAATAAATAAAAGAACCAACAACTAACCAATAAAAAACATAAGTTAAAAAAACTTTTAGTGTGCGTATCCTTTAATCTTGATGTCAATTTGATGAATTGGGTCTTGTAATTTTTAAACATCATAATTGTTTTTCATTCTTTATTTAAAGTTTATTCTACTTTATTTTTATTATTTATAGATGTGACAAAGTAAGTATTATGATGTAGTGAAAGGGATTAAAGCTATGATTAGTTGACAATGACTATTAGTTACTATTATTACTATTTTGGAATGTGACTATAATAGCTTGTCAGGTTAGATTTATGTTACTTATCACCAATAATTCAGATGTTTGGTGAACTTTATTTAGAATATTAAGATGATAATTAAAAAAAAATCATAGATGTTAAATTGAAAATAATATTACAAGACTAAAATGTAATTCAACCCAAAAAAAGAGACTAAAGATTGTTGGGACGATTGTTATAGGTTTTGTAAGTATTGATATTAAGTGCGCAATAATGTTTAACTTTAAACTTGAATAAATTGTGAATTTAATACTTCCCCAAAATTAGTTCAATAAACTAACCACATAGATGAAAAAAACCAATAAATTTCCCATCTAACTTTTGTGAAGTGATTTTTTTAAGAAAATAAATATTTAAATATATCATCGATGGAAAGGTCGGAGTTTTGAATTATAAGTCTTATATTTGTCAATCAAAGTATAGTTTAACTAGTTCATATATATATTCTCGACTAAAATATCAGAGTTTTGAATATTCRTCCCTACACGTTGTTGAATAAAAAAAGAAACCCTCACATTTTACGTCCAAATTTAGGAGACTCCAAATATTTTTGGATATTATTTTTTCACTTCTCATGGTTGATAGCCTTGGCCCTTCCCTTCTTCGAATAGTCTCCCMCTCCCTCCATTTCACCGATTCCCCACTTCTCACACACACCCTTCTCAATTTTCACCTACATTTATTTAATTTAGGTTAAAAATATATTATATATATTTTTCCAATTTACTCTCTTATTCAAAAAATTTTAATTTAATCTCTCAAATYTTAACCTTTTTTTATTATATCCTTTTTATGAGTGAAGGTTAAAATTAAATAATAAATTTAAAGACGTGCTCAACGAGGAGACACTAGTATTGTTTGACGAGACCACTTAACTATGTTTAGGTCTATATATAAAGATCACATTTTAACTCATTCATCTTTACTCTTCCCATCATGGTTTTTGAAACAAAAGTGTGTGTTTGGAARTACTTTCAATGATGATAGAAATATGTTCTACCTCAAATATTTGGAAAATATTGGTAGATTTCTTTTTAATTATAATATGAATTATTTAGAATATCCAATTCAACTATAGTTTAGTGGATAAACATATTATTATTTAAAAAATTGTTGATGATTTAAGCTCTATAGAATGTTAATCGCAATTAAAAAAAAAAAAGTCCGAAACCGTGTTCAGAAGGCATGGACCTCTCCCATAAAGTTACTACAAAATACAAAATGTCGTTCTCCTAAGCATCACCTACGGTATATAATCACTCCAAGTAAATTATTCTAAGGGGTCTACTGTCGCCTATATTTTTCCCTCTAACTAACTCATTTTCTTGATATGTCATTCGCAGTATAATTTTTCTTTTCTTTTTTTTTGAGTTCAATGAGATTGAATTTTGAATAAAAGCACTAAGTATTTTATCTATTAAATTACGTACCAAACGAAGGGACTCTTTTCTAGCATTTTTAACGCAATTGGATAGGAGAGCTAGCATATAATTTTCCAAAGTTTGGGATAAAATATGTAAGAGTAATTTCCCTAAACAATTCCTTGAAATTAATTGGATATAATATTATATTCACCTGTTTATATTTGTATATCATTTTTGAAAAATGTTACAATACTATACCGCTTCTTCAAAATATTACAATCATATACCTTAAAATCATTGGAATGGAAAGAAAAGATGTACTAAGATTTTGGAATTGGGGGATTTTTACCCAAAAAAAAAAGATTTTATATATATATATATATATTTATTTATTTATTTATATTTATTTATTTATTTTGAGAAAGAGAAAGAATCTATTCAAAATTTGTTTTGTAACAAAAAAAAACATAACCAAGTTTCTCATTCTATAAGGCAAAAATCAAAAAAGAAAAAACTCAAAACGAAAACCAAGTTTTGTTAATAGGAGATATGAGTAGTAAACTAAAAAATTGGGGAAGAATTAAAAGGAATAATAATAGAAAGTCATAAGCTTAGTCGTGGTCGGTGAATTTCAAATTATTAATATTCATAGGATTTCATTTCAAAACTAATTGACTATGAAACGAGTGGCCAAAGTCTATTATAAAACTTGGTTGGATCCTCAACATGTCATCCCATTTTACATTTGACTATTGAAACTCTTTAAGGTTATATTGCTAGATTGTAAAAATAGAGAAAGATAAAAATAAGAAACAAAAATAAATGGACAAAAGAAAAATTAAATATCTCTTATGGACAGAAATAAAGACCATAAAATAAAAGAATCAAATCTATTAATTCACGTAATAGATTTTTAATTAGCAATAGACAAAGATTACAATTTAATTACACAAACATGTAAGAAAACAATGTAAGCTAAATAAAACAATGAAAAACACTGAAAGAAAACAATGAAAAACATAATGAAATTAAATAAGGTATTTAGGGAAATAAAATAAAATATAAAAGTTAAATATATTTTTTAAATCTCCGGGAATATAAAATTATAAATAATAGATCATTATATATTTGAAAATATTTAAAGATATCGTATGTAACTGTAGATATTTTCGTATTGCGGTATATTTTTTACAATTACTGTATAATGTATTACAATTTAGAGAGAGTTTCAAAACGATTAGACCTTTAAAATATGAATTTCACAATTAATTGTCCTTTTCAGGTTAAGGAAAATGGGTGTGTCATGGGTCCTGCTTTTGTAACCGTTTACAAGGCCCATACAGAAAACTGGGCTGTAAGCCCATTAAAATTTAAAACAAACACTTCCTTTTAAAGGATTATTTTGAGGTTGATAATTACCTAAATCATAACAAATATGAGCAAATATGGGTAGAGAATTGAACGTTTAGCTTATGAGAAAGTAATACGTGTTTGATCCAAATTGGAGTGTAGTAGAGATTGTAATCAATATAATATATAACTAATCTAACACACTCATATGAGTCATTTCAATCATTATAAATATATTATTAAATACAATGAAATAATTATTTGGAAACTATTTAACCATGGTCAAATTATTTATTTTAATACTATCGGAAAATGAAAATTAGATCCAAACAAATACAAATGTCCAATTTCAAGTATGCACATCAAATGTAGTAGAGTCAGACAATTGTCCCGTATAAATAATCATTAGCAATCATCTATCTATATTAATTTTTGATAAATTTCTTGATAGATCACATGGATGTATTGTATGAATCATCTCACCTCACATTATCAGTTTTTTTTTACCTCTTAATTAGATATATATCTTAATTATCGTTGAACAAGATATATATGTTAATTGTTGCTAAGTTATACTCACTCTGACTCGAGTTAGATAGTATTATTTTGCAATTTCATGAAATTGAGCATTGTAATCGTCAACGTTACATTCTAATTTTATAATATTAGTTTTTTTTCTTTTTTTGAAAAGCTTATAATATTAGTTATTGATTTGATAGCAAGGCAAGAAATTCTACTATTAAAAGCATTGAATTTTTATTATTTAAT